CCCAGACCTATGCTCTCAAGGACTGGACATGTTAGAAAGAAGGGTGGAAAGGCATAAACTTATAAACAAGAAGTTAGCCCTAAGAATGAGTGATACGTTCCCGTTAAAGGGTAGACTATGAGCATCCACTGGAGATAAAACACTGGTGAAACAGAAGTCAAGGCCAAGTAACAACATATCTGCTAAGCACTCAATTGGCTGGTGGCCTGGAAAAAGGACAGGTCTTTAAACCAATTAATAAACTACACTCCATCAAACAAAGTGTCTTTGGTAAAGGGCTCAGCTGGATGTCCTCAGAACAGGACTATAACCAGTAAATAATTAATCTTGCCTTCGTGGTTTTAAATCATGCACTGAACTTTAAATGTGTTCACTGCATCCTTATGCAGAGTATGCTGCCCCTAAAGTTTTTCCTCCCCACTGCTCCTGACTGATGAGGGAGTGAGCAATAAATTGCTAATGCCTGAGGAGGAATCGAGTACAATGAAGCACCACAGGGCACATATGAACGTCACTCATTTGATAAAAAGTTATTCTTGTTGTGTCAGAACACATTCACATTTGCCTGAAAGCACAAAGAAGGCAAAGTTCATATAGACAAAAACCACCTGCACATACATTACTCCTTTAATTAAGGTCAGCTAACGATGACTTAAAGCTATTCCCCTTCATGCACAGACAGCCACAGTTAGGCCATTTCTTAATTGCACAGCGCTACAGCACACAATCACGTAACCATAAAAGCCATTCTTTATCTGTAACATTTAGAGAACAGTTAATTTCTAGACATGCCACAGTTCAGCCAAGTGAAATCTTACGCTACGAGCCATTATTTTTACCGTTTCTCCATTATTTCTTGGCCGGTTTATGGCCGTTAAGAAAGTACCATAAACCATGGCACAGCCCACTCTCTCTGCAGCTGAGCAACTGAGGGCTTGCAGTGGAGGAGGACTCTGGTCCTTCATTAGTTTTTGAACTCTCGACCTTTTTGTTCAGAAAAATATTTGCACTATGCTAGTTATTTTATAAGCACTCTCCTCTCCACTTACAGAAAGAGAGAGAGAGAAAAGGAACAAACAAGTTACAAATTACTATCATAGCTCAGACACACACAAGTACCAGTGTATCATTCACCCACACAATCACATCATCAAAATAAAGTGCAACAATGAAAAGAAAAATCATAGCTATTTGTTCTTAGACTTGGTCATCATTTTTGTCTCCCGTTCCACACCCTTCTCCTCCTCTCCCTCTGGTTGCCACCATGCCTCCTTCAGCAGTATATATTGATTTATTTCTAGATCGGGAAATTTCAAAGTTTTCAGCCCTTGTTTCATCTTTAACAAGTGTCATTTGTTAACAGCAGCTTACGTGATGCTGTCTCGGGTAGTGGATTTTTTTGTAACAGCCAGGACCGTGGGGCAGCCTGGTAGACAAAGAGCATAAGGAAACGGCCTCAAAGGCTGCCACTAAAAACTCCTCTGGAATTTACAAGAGATAAGCATCTGCCAGTGAGAGAAAAAAAACACACTGTGGATGGGAGAGGGAGCCTTTCTCTCCGGAGGGGCTCCAGGGATGATCCTGGAGTACTGGGTGAAACTCAGTGGAACTGACAGTGAGCTCAGCAGCCTGACAAGGCACAGACCTTTGGTGTGACCACAGCCACACTCAGGGGGCAAATCACACAACACTGAGATGCACCAGTAAAAGAGAAATCATACAATGGGAATGTAAGTAAATAGAAATGTGGCTTACAATAAAGAACAAATTTTGCAGTCTGTTTCCCTTTCTTGTTAGAAATGAAGCTTTTCATTGTCTTTTATTATTTCGAGATGTTTGGGGTTTTTTTTTCACAATGTTACTATTCACTTTTTAAAATGTGATGTTACAGATTATTTGGCAGGTTTTTTCCTGTTACAAAACAGGAAGATGTTTGAAATCCACCTGCCAAATATTTAATGTCAGTCAATAAGTGTCAATGAAGAAAACCACTTTCCCAGGTGGAGCTCTCCTCTGCAGTCACAATACCCTCAATTGTACCTGTCTGAAGCTGAAGCTTTGACCTTTTGTTACTGTTCCAGATACATGTGAGGTTTTTTTAAAGGAAAAAGGTACTGATGACAGCAAAAACACACAGGTAAGAAGTAAGTGTTGCAATTGATAGCAGTTCCCCTATTGTTGCTCTACTGATCCCCCAAACTGACTACTAGGAATGGAGGAAAAAAGTCCAAATGGATTTCTACAAGCTGTTTGTATAATGTCATGTAATAAAAGGAAATGAACCCTTCATCTAGTATTTAAAAAAATATAAAATAAGTCTTATGCTACATCACTTGTTCTCTGATGCTTTTACATCTGCACAACACAATAAAGGAATGCTTTCAAGTTCTGTTTTGTCCTAAATGGTTCTCCAGATTCCTCCTTATGAATTGGGATGTTCTTCCTTGAAATTGCAGTAAATCTGGGCTTCAGGATGGATGTGTTTTGCCTCCAAATAGCAAAGGGCTCCCATGGGATCCCCATAAATGTAACCCAAATGCTTTGGCTAAGAGGAAAATGATACAAGATGCCATTGATCTCCATTACCATATAAGTTATGTGGCCCATAACATTTAAATTACAAGCACGTGTGGTATCTCCTTCAGATATGTGACAGGAAATACAATTTTTAAAATATTGAAACTGCCAATAAAAAAAAGCTGGCTGAAATAAAGAGTTGCTCCTAAATGCATTAATGCCAGTGAACCCAAAAGTTATGACTCATCTCAGTTCATCCTCTTCTGCTGAAAATGATCTTCCCATTTATCAGATTAACGCAGTCCCTCAGCATTTAATGAACAGTAGTTGCAGCTTAATTTCTTCATTGTAATACCTCAAGGAAGGAAGGAAAAGAAATTCTACCCTATTATTGAAAGATTTCATAGGCTGTAGCTATTACTGGGTCCTTTGTTGCTTCAGAAATCCCAGATCAAATCTACAGCAAAAATACTCAACTTTTGTGTCTTGCTGGGGAATACTGTAAACTCTTCCTACACTGAACACTAATAATAACTTCCTACTCACTCCACAGTGCAATTCAAGGTATTGACTTTACTACTTTTAATCCTTTTAACACCTCAGTCCTCAGCAAGCTGAGGATGCTCAGTTGTCATCAGCAATATCCCCACCACCCTGATAGTGCAGCCTTGCACCACCTCCTTCACAACAGGGAAGGAGCAGAATCTGAACCAGCATAGTGCATGATTGAACCCTCTGTGCATCTCACTCCCAGGGTCTTCCCTAAAATTTGGCACCAGTTAAAACCCTCAAGCATGTCCCTTCTGACTTAAACACAAAGGTCCTCTTTAAAAATATTGGAGGAGCATGGGGTCAACGAATGGAGAATGACGGGGAAACACTTCCCTTCTGCAAAGCATAAAGCAAGTAAACACAAAGTTTAATAGACAGTAGTCACATTCCCAAACACAGAGGAAAGCATAATTTTATGAATACATTCTTTCTTGCCTCTCTAGCTCCAAAGGCCAACGCGGCTTCAAAACTGTTAAGCCATACATCCTCTAAACAAATTGTCTTTTTAACACCTGAGCACATATCTTATGAGAGCCACTTGCACAGTGGACTTTTATTGGGCAAATATCAGCCTAACTAATTGTTTCAAGCTCGAAAAAAAACCCCAGATTTATATACATTCAGTGTGACAAAACTGCTAAATAAATCCTTCAAAACAAGCTGAGCTCTTCTCATGAGCTACTCTGTGGACAATGCCTGGACATTTTATTTCCACCCTTCCAGAAAAACTATGGACTCCAAACACTACTACGTGTCAATTATATTTCCAGGAACAAGGTCATCTGTTGCATACAGGCTATACAGAAACTTAATGCAAAACTCTGCATACTGTGCAGGCTATGGTGAAGCTGTCCCATAACGATACCATACGAGTTGTTACTGCTTCTTGAACACATACATAGACAATTCTTCATGCATTTTGCCATAAAGTGTAGTAGTCTTGCAGGGAAGTACAAATTCTCTGCGGATTAAGCAATAAAGAACATATGGTATATAAAATACCCTAAACGTTTCTAAGCCCTTGTGATATCCAAGTATAATATGGCAGATTTATCTCTGTATTTTACAGCCATATTCTTTGTATCACTGTTTCAGTTATTACTTAACTCTGGAAAAAAACTTGAAGCACACCTTCTACATAAAATACTGCTTGATTTATGATGATTTGCCTCAAATTTTATTTTGATACTACATATGGCTGCACTTTTATTTAACTCTGCTCTGCCTCTCCTAGACACACCCAAAAAAACTTCTCCAACATATAACTCTGAAATAAACATAAGCAAAAGGCACAACTGACGGGAAACAGGAATTTCTTGGCTCTCACTGGTATTTGGGATATATACATGGATTAAGCCTCCCACTGCATTACTCATTTTAGGAAAAGGAATTGGTGTAATAGTCAAAAATATACAACTTCAAAGTGCAGTGTGACCTTATATTTACATTGCCTGCTCTCTGGGGCATAGGCACAGCTGGGAGAATTTTGGAGCTCACAGCTAATCTGTTTAGTTTGGAATTCCTTACTCTTGGCCCTGAGAGCTGGAGGAATTAAAGCTTTCAGCTTTTGACAGTGAGCACGTCCCCAGAGCAAAGGCAGGCGCAGCTCTTGCAAACACCTCTCGCCATTACTTGTTTCTGCCCCGAGTCAAAGGGGAGGTTACAAACAAGGTGGTTGGTAGACACACACGCAGGCTTGAGAAAACTGACATTTTTAAGGGCATCAACACAAACACCACAGTATGTTCACAAGTGGAGACAACTTTCCTTGATAGGAAAAGGGTATGGCAGAGACTGAAATAGTCCCTAGTGAGGATGATGTCACAGTTTGGGATGTGGGGGACGCCCCACCACAAGGACAAGTACTGACAGCTACAGCACTGACAGTCTCTGCACGCCAGGAAAGCATCCAGCATCCAGCTCCATGCTACACACAGGAACTGGACAAGGGAGGCCTGAAGAATTGCCGACTCCTCTGCCTCAGAGTCACGTCTCATGCTTTAAAGGCTTTAAGCAGGTATGAGATTCACACAGGAGGGAAAACCTACGGGAAGCTCTCAAATGAAAAATGAAAAAAAGCAGCAGATTCACATCCCTGCTAACTATCCAAGCCTGCTCAGCTGGGGTTGAAGTGGGTCTTCCCCAAAGAAGTAGCTCTTCTTGCTCCCAGCAGGAGGAGGTTAGATGGTGAGGACCTTCCAGTTTATATGAAAATTTAGCATAGCTATTCAGAACAGTTCTCATCTTTGCCATGAATAATCACCCAAACCTCAGCTGCTATGCACTGTAAGTAAACTCCTTTTCATGTCCAGATCCATTCTAGGAGACCTTCCCTAACACTCAGATGTGAAGTCATTCCAAAGCTGCCTCAAAAAGACAACAAAACATCATGCATGACTGGTCTTGTGTGTAACACCATCGGCTTCAACCAATCTTCCCATTCAGAGTAAGCTCCAATTCCCACACCCTCCCTCAACCCCACTCCAGCAGCCACACCACCACGGGTGAGTCAGATCAACTTTGTCCTTCAGTGTTTTCTTAGTGAGGAATAACAATTAAGGCAGCAAAGCATAGGGACATTTTACTGAAAGTTTTCATACGATTTTATGGAGACAAGCCAAAGGTATTTTCTATAGGAGCTGAGAAATTTTTAAAAAATCATGGCAACACAGTCACCTGGGATCCGCACTGCCATTCCTCTCAAGAGTTTTGCAGAGCTTGCTATCAGGAACATAACTTTCAGAATGGAATAAGGTAAACTAAATAGAATAAACTAAAAATAAATTTAAAATACCATAAATGAAATAAACTAAAATAGAAGTCTAATTTATTTGTCATTGGGAAAGATCCCAGAATGGAGACCTGAAGCCACTCTTGGAAGTCACTCAAGAACTTCTCCATCAGCACACACAGCCAAGCATTGAGCTGCAAAAAACAATAGCAGTCCTCTTACCCTTCAGGCCACCTCTCTCTCCTGAGGGGAACTATAAGGTTATTTGCAGAAGTTCCTACACTACTTGCTGTGACTTAGCCCATATGCAAACACATTACAAAACACGAGTCAGTGAATGTGACAGCACGGAGAAGTCAATTGAAAGCCAATCTCCAGCTACAAAACACTCCAAGACCTCAGGCTTGCAACGAGCATTTTCTAACATGAAAGAAAAAAAGTTTTCCCAATCCACAGCTGTATGTAACTATTTTGTTTCAGGAAGATGCAACCACATCTTACATCACAGCACCAACTCTAGATAATTCTGGCACATAAGAAAGAGCTGGATACAGGTACACTTATAACCTGTTTTGGGTTTTTTTCCATGCAATCAAAGTGACAAAACCCCACACATCTCTGGCATATCATTATGTCTTACTGCAAAAATAGCAAACACCATTACTCGACACAAGTCTAAGCATCTCTGTTGGGTACCTCGGTTCTAATTTCTCAGTCATTTCTTCCAAATGACACTCAAGAGTTCCATCTCGGATGTCCCTCATTTTCCTGTTTACAGGGCAGATTTCCTATCTCAGAAGGTGACAGACTGTTCCAGTTCCAAGTAACACATGTCTAGTAGCACGTGGTTCTGTGCATCTTTGGACTCCAGGCTGGTAACGGAGAAGGCAAGACAGGGTGTACCCATGTTTGTGCCCCATTTGCTGGCAAACGGGACGGTCACGAAAACCCTCAAGAGGACACAGTCTGCTATCAAAGACAGTGGGAACGTTTTTACTAGCTTGAATGAGAACATGACTAAATCCTAAAAACCAAAAAAGAGTTCTCTATGTTTTACTGAACACCTTTAACAGAGGAAAACTCACTTTTCCTAGAAGAAATAACAAAAAGGCTAATCAAATCAATATTGACTACTCAGTGTTGTTAATCTCTTCCTATCTGGATATCTAAGACACATTATTTGTGTGAAGACGCGATTGCAAGTTGTTACACAAGATGAAATTGCATCTCCTGAAAACAAAATAGTTACATGCAACTGTGTATTGGTAAAACTTTCTTCTTTTTTTTTTTTTGTGTTATAAAGTGCCATTGCAAGACTGCAATCCTTAAATGGTTTTTAGCTGGAAACTGGCTTTTGACTGACTACTCCGTGCTGCTGCACTTAATTTCTTCCTATCATCAAGTCAGACAAGGTATTTAAAAAATTCCCTTCACTGCATGTATGTGTTTCTCTCATTTATACAACACACCCCTCCATGGGGCCTTTCTTCTTTCCGCAAGTAAAACCCCCTGTTAGAAGAGGGATGGGGAGAAGGCAGAGGTTGCTGGTCAAGCTGTGGGGAGCAGTGTGGGCTCACTCCTGAAAGGTGCTTCTGTTCCCACTCCCATTCAGTTTCCTGGCCCAGTCCTGCTTTATCCTCTCTGAATTGCACTCCTCTTCAGCATCACCATAGTGACTGCATAACTTACACTCCGTAGGCAGATTTCAGAGAGCCAAGGGACAATTGCAGTAGAGTCTCATGTAAACTGTTTATTGACATTAGCTGACATTTTACTGTAGGGAAGGTTTGTTGGGTTACTGTAATTAAAAAAAAAAAAAAGCCAACCAACCTTCAACACAGTGCTCTGGCCTGGAAGAGACAGGAAAATAAGACTATTTTTATTTACAGCGCTTCTGCGGGTCACTAAGTTAATGGATTGTTACTGCATCTACTGAAGCAATTTTTAGCTGTGTTTAGGAAACATGTTATTATTAGGGACGCACGCACATCCCACAAAAGAGCTCTGGTCACGGCAGCTCTGCAGAGTGCTCTGGCAAGTAGTTTAACATCCCAAACCTCCCCCTCTCCTTTCCCCCCACGAGCAGAATCAGAGATTTATAATAGGCTACCAAACATCAGAAATGCAGTTATGGGTGGCTGTCCCACTTCTGTAATATCAAAAGCCTTTTTTTTTTTTTTAGGATTAAGCAGCCCTCTGGATTAAAAAAAAAAAATCTGGAGTGCTTTGGCACACAGATCACACATCAAAATACTAAGCTGTCTGTAGTTAGAAACAAATTTAAACCTGGTCCTCTACTAGTGTTTGCAGTGTCCAAGGAAAGGGATGGATGAAATGCCACAAAGAAACGTGACATAGAAGCACACTTCAAAACCTTTGCCACTAATCTCAGAGTGAATATTAAAAGATAAGGAAGTTAACAGAAATATTATATTTAGCATATTCACTGAACAATATAATATTCTCCTTTTTTAAAAATCTATTTTTGATTCAGAGTCAGTTTTTATATCTGCATTTAAAATTACCTCATGCTTTAGTGCCCAACACACAAGTGCTAATACCCTCCTGGAAATGACCTAAGCTTTGCAGAGGTCTCTAAACATGAAAAGTACTGCCAGACAGCTATTAGTAACACTTTCTGACAGATCAATTCTCTCCTCCATTGCAGGATACTCCCCTTCTTCCTGCCTTAGAAATACTAACACTAACGAGAAGGAGCGTCCCAGCTGAATCCTTGTTTATTTGGATAGAGGTATTTTTTAATAGCAACTGATGACAGTCATGTCAGAAAGTATAATTCATAATGCAGACACCTAAAAAAGCCTCTTTTTGGGTTCCTCTCCAAAAGCCTTTTAAGGCAGACATGTGGGTAGCCTGGTTTCCTGAAGCAAAAGACATCAACTTATATTTATAACGATCAAAAACATAAAAAAAGGAGTGGTGGACTAGAGGGACCTTGTTTACCAAAACACAAAGTAAAACACTGTCCATAAGAGTGCATCTCTATTTGTGTAGTTGTGTGCGTTCCATGCTGGAGTTAATATTCACACACAGACTAATTTAAAAGCTTACATCAATTTGCTATTCAGAGATCGACAAGCTGGGCCATTAAGCTCATAAATCCCAATAATTTTTAAAGTGACAGAAAATAACATTTATTATATACTCATCAGGAAGAAGGAAAACAATCACACTGAGCATGAGGCAAGCACCTCGTACCTGCCTTTGGGCATGTTTTCCCACAGGTGTGATTTACAACTCCAACATCAGTTAAGTATAATCTCCAGCCACACTTCCTGTTGTACAAACTACTTCTATGCTTGACCACAACTAGTTACAGAGTGCAGTGCTAAGTTGTCCTCGACTCAAACATGTAGTCAAGAAAGCAGTTAATCTTTCCTCACAGCATTTTCTCCCTGCAGATGCTTCCAGTGCATGAAACCAGGCAACAAGTGTTGCCTTCAGCTACTGCTTTTTTTTCTTTTACAGATAGAGAAGAATCTCAGTCCCCAGACAGGCAAAAGTGAGTTAACAGCAAAATAAACAGTTCATATTTAAGAGCCTCAGGCTCCAAAACTTCTGTCCCCTCCTCCCCAGACCGTCAGTACCACTCTCCCAAAAAAAAACTAAGTCCTGTTTGCAGAGAAATCTGTCAGGGTTTCTATTCCTCTCCACCTCACAGAAAAAACACTGGGGAAGCACAGAACTGTGCAATTTAACTTTCGCTTGGCTCCCTAAAATACCTTAGTCAGCAGTTTTCTCAGCACACTTATTTACAACAAATGTCAGGACATCTACATCTTTAAAAAAAACTCACTGCACAGTCTCCCTTCAGTGAGTACTTACCTAAAGCCAGAAAACGAACACTTTCTGTATTTTTTCCCATCTACGGTACGTTTGAAACACCATCTCTGGGATTTGCACTAAGGGTATATATGGTAAGTGCAGTCTAATCATTTCAACCCCATGTAGCACATCATTCTGCATCCGCTCCGGTTGTTTTCCCAAAGCTTCGGCTGGATTTACCGGAGAGATTTCTGCAGCAATGATTTCAAACACCATGAGCCTACGTGCATAGTTTAACATCATCAGCTGAACCACTAGGAAATATGAGAAAGGCTCCAGGAATTCACTTAACTTCGAGTATTAAATAAAAAACACTCCTCAGCTGCCCCAGACTCCTCCCTAACAAGGCAAAAGTCATGGGAATGTGATCCAGCAGGATGCCCGGCACCCAAACGCTACCGATTTCCGCTGCGATTCAAAGCTCCGGGCAAAGCCATCCCTTTCACCACTTTCTACTTTAAAAAGAAAAGGAAAAGGGGAGGAGGGGAAAAGGAAAGGGGAAAAGGGAGAGAGAAAACGAGAAAGGGGAAAGGAAAAAAGGGAGAAAGAAAAGGGGAAAAGGGAGAAGGAAAAGGGGGAAAAGGAAAGGGGAAAAGAAAACGGGGAAAAAAAGAAAAGAAAAGAAAAAAGAAAAGAAAAGAAAAGAAAAGAAAAGAAAAGAAAAGAAAAGAAAAGAAAAGAAAAGAAAAGAAAAGAAAAGAAAAGAAAAGAAAAGAAAAGGGAAAGTAAAAAAAAAAAATAAAAAGGAACCAAATATTTTTGTTATATGTATCATGTTCTTTAACTAAAACAAAGCAGCTCCATCCACCGGCCCGTTTCAAGCCAGAAGAACTTCGGGGCTGCGCCGCAACTACCGGGAAAATTCCACCTCGGACGGAGCCCCCACGGGCCCCACTCCCCCGCCCCGGTCCCCGGGACCGGCTGCCCCCGAGGCAGAGCCGCCCCGGCCCGTTCTGTACCCGCTCCTTACCAGTTCCTTACCCGCTCCTTACTCTCTCCCTGCCCGTCCCGGTCCCTGTCCCGGCGCTGGCACGACCCGCCCGCCGCCGGCAGAGGCAGCAGCGGCACCGGGCGGGGGGAGGTGGCAGGACAAGCCCCGCCCGGCCACATCCCGGGGGAGCATCCCCCAGAAAGGGGCAGAAGCTGCTGAAAGACGGGAGACTCCGAGGTGGACCAGCACCGTCAAAGTTCCCCTGGGAACAGGAGTTCCTCTGGAGACATACAAGGCTTGGAAAATGTCTTTATAACCAACAGGATAATATAGTCGTATTATCTTGAGTAACAGAAAGTCGTTTTTATACGGTGCCCTGTGCATCTCTAGAGTGCACCTCCCAGAGGCGACAAGGTACCATGCAGAGAGAATTCTTTCCTAAAAGGAAAGAACACACAGATAGAATAGAACGGGTAGAATGAAGAGGGAGAAAACACCTATAAAACCCTCTAGAGCGTTCCCAGGGACATGGAGCAGAGTTGCCAGGGACGGCAGACACCCAAATTGCCCATATGAAAAGCTATCAATAGCAGTGATAGCTCACTTACAGAAGTGAGCTCATTTCTTGTGTAATTCATCCAAAATTGTTTGTAAAGCATCATCCATCCATTTTAGCTCCACTGCTTTTCAGTGTTGTTGAAATTTCCCTTGTATTTTAATACAGAGGGATGTCCTTCTGTAAATTCATAGAATCATAGAATAGGTTGGGTTGGAAAAGACCTCCAAGATCATCAAGTCCAACCCCTGATCCAACTCCAATTACTATATCATGGCACTAAGGGCCACGTCCAATCTCTTTTTAAAAACCTCCAGGGATGGTGAATCCACCACCTCTCTGGGTAGGCCGTTCCAATGCCTGATAACCCTCTCTGTAAAGAATTTCTTCCTAACATCTAACCTAAACCTCCCCTGGCAGAGCTTGAGCCCATGTCCCCTTGTCCTATTGTTGGTTGCCTGGGAGAAGAGACCAACCCCCACCTGGCTATAACCTCCCTTCAGGTAGTTGAAGAGAGTGATGAGGTCACCTCTAAGCCTTCTCTTCTCCAGACTAAACAACCCCAGCTCCCTCAGCCTCTCCTCATAGGACTTGCCTCTGCAAGAAGCTGAGTGATTCTGAATTAGCATTGACATGTCTAAAGCTGCCTACACACAGAGCAGAGGCAGATAATGAAAACTGCCCCCGGCAAGTTTCCGTGTGGTTTAGTTCACAGCCCCAGTCAACCAGTAAACCTGGTTTACAAAGGTCCCCAAAAGCTCTTCTCTGTCCCCCTCTGTAACCAAGCCAGCAGTTCTACACAGACAATTACAGTTAAAGCAAGTCTCTGACTCTCTAATTAAAAGAAATATTCAGGAATTCAGGTAAATGTGGCCCCTTCTAAACAAACATGGTTTTAATTCATAGCTGAGCAATTCTGCAAGTAATAACAGAGGCAGAAAATGCAGAATAAGACAGAACAAGCATTCTTAATCGAGCAGCATCCAGCCTTTGTGGGAGGAAGTAATCAGACCTCTGGCAACAATTACCATTTTTTACTGCACTAAGCTTTATTTTTATTATGACCCTGCTGTTGCTAAGATAGTGCTCTCAAATTACCTTACATACAGACTGTATTAAATAACAGGTTTGCCCAGGTTACAGGGCCAGATGGTTCTCCAAAGTTTAATATATCAGTGGATTTATATTATTACAAAATCCCACAGCTTTCACATTGCTCACCCAATCCAGTAAATAACCTCTCCAGTCTAGGCAATATGTGGATACAAAATTTATTTCCTTTCCTGTTTGCAACTGATGCTTTATATGTCCAAACAAATCTGTTCTTTGGAGTCCTAGTGAACACTGTTAAACAGTGTGATCACTGTGTCCAAAGTCAGCATCCAGGTAACATGCTGGGCCAAAGACCTTCACACCAAAATTTCAACTCATCTGTTAGTGAGGGAAAGCAAAGTATGTGGAGCAGCATCCTCACAAGTACAAGAAATGGAGCTGGCTTGGGAAAAAGAGAAAATAATCCACAAAACCAGCCAAAGTATTTCAACAAAGATGGGAAAACCGAATGCTTCAATTTCAATACTGATGCTGCTTGGAGTGCTGCTAGATCACATCCATCGTGAAGATCCAGCCTCCACTATTACTGAAATGTTGAGCTGGTTCAGAATTAATCTGAAGGAACTAACACAAGACATGACAAACACCACCATTTTTAAACCAACATTTTAGATGATCGTTGTTCAAATCACAGATGAATAATTATGTAACAAAATAAGCAGATGATTGTTTAAACAGCAGTGAGATGAGACCCTTGCACAGCCTACAACGTCAGCCTAAGATCCTGTTTTAGAATTTAATCTCTCAGGCAGGGAAACCTCTGACCTCTAAGAGCTTAGGGTCTTTTAAAATAGCCAATGTATTTGGTGTTTCTTGGGTATTTTCATGACTCATGAAGCAGTAGCTCTTAAAAGGGCAGTTCTGAAGTTGAACTCATTCGTGATTACAGCAAATATTTATTTTGAGCACACAGAATAGTTACTGGGGATGTGTTTTCAGAAATCTAGGATAGCTGAACATTTTAAAATCCTTAAATATGTTAGTATAGCTTCAAAAACAAAGTTCAGAGAGAACTTCTGAAAATCCAGTTATTAAAACCATTAAAATAGTGATGTTTCCTGAGTTATTCACTTATGCATGAGTGTGAGAGACTACTCACGAGGTGCCCAACATTATGGAGACATGAATTAAACACTCTAAAAATGCTTTAAAAACTTGTGTATTACAGTGAACTGTCCATTCAAAAAGTTAACTGTCATTAGGGTTTTTCTTTAAACTTGGTTTTACACAGTAATGTTCTAGATTTTTTTCCAGATTGCAACATTTTGTCATTAGTTTCCCCAATTAATCAACTAGTAAGACAAGCATTCACACTGTACACTTTTGAGGATTAATTTCAGTATTAGTAGCATTTCTTTGCCCAAATTTTGTACACCCCATGATAATCTGCACATACTATTTCATATACACAAAGTAGTTCGAGTTTCTATTTCTGGACAACTTTGCCTCAAAGATGAATTCTTCACTGCCATGTTGAAGTCAGCCTTCAGTTGCATAGCCTTATGTAGTAGCAATTTAAACATTTAACAGCATTTGAGATATTCAGAAACAGATTCAGAATCACCTGGTTAGCAGATAATAAGCACAAGCTAGTTGGGCATTTCTACTTGATCCAGCTTCTAATGCCAATAAGTTAAATGTAATGTACTATGCCCCTTTACAACATTACTATAGCAGTATCCAAAATACCATTTTAAATTTTTTTTCCAGATTCTATTTTCGAGTATTGGTAGTTTACAGTTTTCTAAAGCTTAATTCAAAACATTTTCCTAAAAAACTGAAGGGAGCTCGAGTGATCAAAATTGTCTCTCCCTAAGCATGTTTACTGCTGATTGGTGAGAGGGACACACAAACACACTCCCAAATAATACTGCAAAGAAAAAATGCTGATAAACTAATGTGCATTGGAATTGTACCTAAATGCCTGTACATTCTGTATGAATTCCAGTTTGGATGTTGAGATATATTCTGTTGTAATGTTTGAGATAACATTTTATGCAAGCTCTAAACACACTCTCTTCAAAGCATATGTTTTAACTGGACATGTCAAAAATGCCTAAGCAAAACCTTTTTCTGAATGCAGCTACCTATGAAAAGTAGCATCAGTAACAC